CGGGATGTGACACCCCCATGGTCCCCCCCCCAGAGCAGGCAGAGCTTGATTAACTCCGTGCTAATGAGGAGAAGCAGCGAGAACCAGCCCTATAGAGGGCCCTATAGGGAGGGACCCCCCCCAAAGGACAAGAGCACCTGCGGGGGCGGCTTCCATAGGGGCAGGCGGGGGCCACAGGGAAGGGACGGTGCCATAGGGGCGGGTAAGCCCCATAGAGGCTATAGGGGACAGCAGACCCCCAAGGGAGGGGTGGAATAGGGGGGGAGCAGCTCCCCATAGGATCTGCTATAGGGCTGGTCGCATCCCGGGGAGAAGAGCCCTATAGGGCCAGTCCCTGCAGCATCTTCTATAGGGCAAGGGTCCCCCCGCAGAGGAAAGCCCCCACAGCCCCTATAGGTTCCGCCATAGGGCAGGGCACGGCCCAGGAAGGAGAGCCCATAGGGCCCCGACTCCTATAGGCTCTGCTATAGGGCAGGGCACGCTCCAGGAAGGACAACACCTAGAGCGCCAGCGCCTGTGGGGTGTGCCGTGGGGCAGGGCACACGCCAAGGACAACAGCCCCTATAAGCTCTGCCATGGGGCAGGGCACACCCTGGGGAAGACAGCACCCACAGACCCAGCCCCTATAGGCTCTGCCATAGGGCACGACCTGCTCCCGGCCCTGCAGCCCCCATAGGCTCTGCTATGGGGCCGGACAGCCCCCGACCCCATGGCCCCGGACCCTATAGGCACTGCTATGGGGCAGGGCACCCTCCTGGCCCCATAGCCCCTATGGCCCCAGCTCCTATAGGCTCTGCTATAGGGCAGGGCACCCTCCTGGCCCCATAGCCCCTATGGCCCCAGCTCCTATAGGCTCTGCTATAGGGCAGGGTACCCTCCTGGCCCCATGGCCCCTATGGTGCCAGCCCCTATAGGTGCTGCTATGGGGCAGGGCATCCTCCTGGCCCCATGGCCCCTATGGTGTCAGCCCCTATAGGCTCTGCTATAGGGCAGGGCACCTTCCTGGCCCCATGGCCCCTATGGCCCCAGCCCCTATAGGCGCTGCTATAGGGCAGGGCACCCTTCCAGCCCTGCAGCTCCTATGGCCCCGGCCCCTATAGGCTCTGCTATGGGGCAGGGCACCCTCCTGGTACAGCAGCCCCTATGGCCCCAGCCCCTATAGGCGCTGCTATGGGGCAGGGCACTCTCCCGGCCCCATGGCCCCTATGGCCCCAGCCCCTATAGGCGCTGCTATGGGGCAGGGCACCCTTCCAGCCCTGCAGCCCCTATAGCCCCAGCCCCTATAGGCGCTGCTATGGGGCAGGGCACTCTCCCGGCCCCATGGCCCCTATGGCCCCAGCCCCTATAGGCGCTGCTATGGGGCAGGGCACCCTCCTGGCCCCACAGCCCCTATAGCCCCAGCCCCTATAGCGCTGCTATGGGGCAGGGCACCCTCCCGGGCCCACAGCCCCTATGGCCCCGGTCCCTATAAGCACTGCTATGGGGCAGGGCACCCTCCCGGGCCCGCAGCCCCCCATGTTCCCCATAGCCACCCCGCAAACCCCGCACTCACCACCGCCGCCGCACGCGCCCGCCGCTGCCCACCGCAACCTGTTACCTTCGCCCAGGCCACGCCCCCGCCGCCGCCCATTGGATCGCGCCGCGCCCAGTCCCGCCCAGGGGCGGAGCCAGACCCCCGTTATGCCACGCCCCCTCTCAAACCACGCCCCTCCGCCTAACGGCCCGCCCTGGGAGGGCGGTCACGTGACGGAGCGGGTGCGCGCCGCCATCTTGGGGAGGGAGCTGCGGCGGCGGCGGCACCTTCGTGCTCCTCAACCGCTTCCCCTCACCCTGCCCGTCCACGGGATCCGGTGTGGCGGGACGGTCCCGGCCATCCCGTCCTCCAGCTTGGGCTCTGCGGGGACAGCGGAGGGATCGCCGGCCCCGCCGGAGAGTTCTGCCACTCATAAGATGGCGCCCGGCGCCGCCCTCCCCTCCCGGCCGGCTCAGGCCACTCCCAAGATGGCGCCGCTCCGCCGCTCCCCTGCCTACGGTGGCCGGGAGGGGCCGCGCTTCCGCCGCGCCTGCGCAGCGCGGGCCGCACCGTGACTAAGATGGAGGTGCAGGGAGCGCGGGCGCCGCCGCCGTTCTGGGCCGACGGCCCGGCCCCGGGACAGACGTACATCCCCCGAGGGCCCGGCCCCGCCGCCGGCCTCAAGCCCTTCACCCGGACGCTGTGAG